CTACAAAAAATGATTCAACTAACTTCTTTTGTTCCTTTTGCATCATTTAAAAATGTAGTCAGAGCTTGATGACAGCTGCACATGCTTTTAGCAATATCCACTTAAAAATCTGTCACTCATTTGCACACAATCTGTTCATTGATTTTTGATTGTTAACCACTCAATCAAACTAGGCAATTTATTTATTTTTTATTATTCATTTGTCAACTATTTATACAGTACGTTACTCATCTTGTCCTCACCTGCTCCTGTATTTGCTGCCTCTTTGCTAGGTCGTCATTGTAAATGAGAATGTGTTCTCAACTGATTAAGCTAGTTAACTAAAGGTAAAATAAATTAAAAAAAAACTGCATAGGGCTCTGATCTTCTCCCCTCTATTGCACACTTCGCCATCATCCGTTTTCTACCATGATTTAAACTGTCTGCGGCTCTGCTCAGCTGCGAAGCACAGAGGAGCTCCAAGAAGCATGTGCAAGAAATGCCAGATTGTGGGATAAAGCCAGTAATAAATGTGGAAGTCAAACAACTGAACCTGTGGAAGACGGACTAAAACAGTTGGAACTGCATCACTGTTGTCTTTTTGAAACTTCTGATTTCAGAATAAAATCCACACGTTTTGTTTTTATTATGTGTTTGCATATGCTGCATGCTGCCATCTGCTTCCCAAACAGAATGATATATTTTGAGAGCAGAGTGTGTATAAATATATTTATATATCAATTAATATAACTAGGATTTTGTTGTGCTCGTTCCCTTTCCTGTTGGTGCGGTGTGATCTTTGTAGATTGACTCTGGACTGCTGTGCTCATGCTGCCACTCTGGGAATGCAGTGTAGATGCTCTCCTTGATTATAATAGGTGCATTTTTACTGCAGAGGTCAGAGCAGCGTGGATTGGATGCGGTGTGAATTGGGGGTCAGTCTTCCTTCAGTTTTTGGGTGTCATCTGGTGCTCACGAGAAAGTATCTGGTGCACACGAGACAGTTTACTTTTCTTACCTTCTATGTCCTTTTAGGGGCTCAGTAATTTTGTAAATGTATTTAAAAAGCAAAAGTCCAACATATTATTATATAACTATTTATTTAGTACTTAATTGAAAAATCTTTGGTAGCACTTCCAGCCTGAAGTCTGGTTGTATCACTGGTTGTAACTATTTAGCGAAAACAGCACAATGATTTCATAAAAACTTATCAGAAAATGTGATTTTATTACAAAACATTGGTCTTATACAAATAATTCTACAACTTTTGCTAAGTTTGACATCAGAATGTGAGCAGTAAACATTTACAGTACTGAAAGTCTAGGCTGCATAGCAACTGGAGTCAAATCTGGCTTTTGAATTTATATAAAACAGTGTCATCATTCTCAAATTATGAGTTGAAGAAAATGTACTTTGTCAAAAAAAATTGTTCAACTTTAGAAAGATCCCTTTGACAAATGCATTGACCAAATACAATAATCAACTTTTTTAAACCTCAAGTTGACAAACCTTGCACATACTTGCTGATTTACACTGAAATAAGAGTATTAAACAGATACAGCATAACACCAGGCAGCCTGTGCAGTTAAAAAAGGGAAGCAAAAGAAAACTGCAGTTTACTGCTTCTGTTCAAATAATGCACATACAGGTGCTGGTCATAAAATTAGAATATCATGAAAAAGTAGATTTATTTCAGTAATTCCATTTAAAAAGTGAAACTTGTATATTATATTCATACATTACATACAAACTCATATATTTCAAATGTTTATTTCGTTTA